GCGCGCTCAAGTTCTAGCTAAGATAATCGTCATCGTCATCATCGCCATCCTCATCACCATCATATCCGGCGTCATCGTCAGCGGCATCGTCATCATCACAATGACCATCACCATCATCACAATCGTCACCATCACCACCATCAGCAACAACATCGTCATCACCATCGTCATCATCGCCATCGTCGTCATCATCGTCAATATCGTCACCTGAATTATCAACATAATCATCCTCATCATCGCCATCGTCATCATTATCGTCGTCGTCGTCGTGATCGTCGTCATCGTTATCGTCATCATCATCGTCATCATCTTCATCATCCGCCCACTCCTGCATCACAAGCACCATAAACAGCATCGCCACCATTATTATCAGCATCGGCGTTATCATCCTGACCATCAGCAGCATCATCATAATGATCGTCAACATCACCATCCTCAACGGCATCACCGTCATCGTCATCATGATCGTCAGCATCACCACCATCATCATCACCACCATCACTCACATCACGATCACCATCATCAACATCATCATCATCAGCATCAGCATCACCATCATTCCCACTGTCAACATCATCATCATAATCTTCTTCCTCCTCCTCCTCCTCCTCCTCCTCCTCCTCATCATCATCATCATCATCATCATCATCATCATCGTCGTCGTCAACTTCATAATAGTCGTCATCATCGTCATCATTTTCGTCACCGTCGTCTCCGAAGCTCCCCCGCCGAACTCGAGGATATCTCCGCAGCGTCTTGCATGCCGCGTGAGCAGTATTTGGGATTTAGGTTGTGGGCCTGAGGCCGCCCTGCATAATCATCAGTGTCATTATCACCAGCGTCTGGAAGCCTTGCGGCGTCCTTTCGGCGCCTTTTGGAGGCCTCTTGGAGCTTCCTGGGGGCCTCTCGAGGCCTCTTGCGGACTCCTGGGGGCCTCTTGGGAGCTTCTGGTGGGCGAGGGCTCGAAATGTCAGTTCGTGTTCCCCATCTGGGGCTCCTCTTGGAGTTTTCTGGGAGCTCTTTTGGGCCGTCTTGGAAGCTTCCTGGGCCGTCTTGGGGCCCTCTTGGGCTGTCTCGGTGATCTCTTGGGGGCCTCTGGGCTCGTCTTGAGGCGATCTTTCGGGCCTCTTGGGCCGCCTTGGAGCGTCTGGAAGCCGAACTGGGGAGAACGCCAAAACCCTTCAAAACTCATTAAACATCAGTGACAATTTCCTATTGGGCCCCTCCCGGGAGTGCTGTCGGAGACCTGCTGGGACGCTTTGGCAGCTTTTTAACCGTCTTGGAGTGCTCCCGGGCCGCTTCGGACCTCTCTCGGGCTGTCCTGAGGGCGTCCTGGAGCCATTTTAGAGGGTCCTGGGAGCGTCCTGGCGTCTCCGGCGGGGGGGTGACCACAGCCACTGGGCGAAGTGAGGCCCCCCCCTGGTCCAGGACCCCCTCCCCATATATATATATATATATATATATATATATACATACACATGCATGCATATATGTATGTATGCATGTATGTATGTATGTATGTATGTATGTATGTATGTATGTATGTATGTATGTATGTATATGTATATATATATATGTCTATATATAAATATAAACATACGTAAACCATGGAGGATTGTGTACACAGGAGAAGGACAATCTATAGAAACATACGTACGTCGTCCAAGGCGCCTCGGCAGGCGCAGAATACTCCTCCAAGGCGCGGAATCATGTTCCCGGACCGCCTTCCGGGAACATGATGGGGACGACCTCCTGAGGGCCTCCAGTGGGCCTCTTGGGGGCCTCTCGGAGGCCTGTTGGGCTCTCCTGGAGGCGTCTTGGGGCGCGCTCAGGACCATTTTTGGGCATCTTGGGGGCCTCTGGGGGCCTCCGGGGAAGCTCTTGGGGGCCTCTGTGGGGCCTCGCGGGGCCTCGCGGGGCCCTCTTGGGGGCCGCTGGGCTCGCTTAGGCAGTCTTGAAGCCCTGTCGAGGCTCTCCTGGAACCGTCTTGGGCGGCTCCTGGGCCATCTCGGGGCTCTCCTGAGCCGTCTTGGGACGATTTTGGGGGTCTCTTTTTTTTTTTGTTTGGAGACATGGTCATCGTCAAGGATATGAGCTAACGACCGTGAAACATGATGTCAGTCATACTTTGTAAGGTGACACGTGCAGAAGAACCAAGACAATTGCGTGCGACAAAACATATGCCTGCGACAATCCTACGAAAAATCCCAAACCACGCCGCGCTTTACCAAAGAGTGGAACCCGTCGTGTCGTCTGGCACGAAGGGGGTGGAGGGAAGAGGGACTCGGAGGGCCCCTGTGTGAGCCTCTCGTCCGCCCCTGCAGGTCAGCCGCCGAGGCGGCTCCCGAGGCTCCGGCGCTCCCGAACTCCCATGCGCATCGGGCACGCAGCGGGTGACGCGTCATGTGCAACGCGGAAACACCTCTGCCTTGTCAGACGCAAGCATTGATAACAAACACGGCTTCGATTTGCTCATGTGTTTAAACACATGTTTGAAGTTCGTTATCCGGGCACGTAAATCCTCACCGTGGCCCGCCAACTTTTCCACACTGGACTCCACGATGTCGTCGAAGGGGACGTCCAAGAACCTTCCGACATCACCCAGGACGCCGCTCAAGTTCATCTGCATCTCTTCGTACCTCACGTGCAGAAGTGGAAACGAACGTGGCAACACTGAAAATCCTTCAACTATTGTAGCATACTCCTTGATAAGAACCTCGCAATCCTTTAATAGCACGCTTGGAATGATCCTCCCCCTGGCATGGCCAGGCCGCCGACCACCGTATCCGTCTCCAGCCAACGCCATTTTCACTATGTTTGTTCTCTCAAGAAATATGATGCGCATGGTTGGAACCGACCTTGTCACTCGAAGAAAGAAAGACCATGTGCAATCACTATCTGAACAAAACAACATGGGATTCGTAGTAAAATCAACGGATGATGTGTGAAATTATCCCGGGAAAAATTGGGTGACATTGTCAACTGCGCTATCTTCACAACCTTTTCGGCCCGCACATCGTATATCCAGCGTGTACTCATTAAGATACGTCGCGTGCTCGTTACCATCCAGCAGGGACTGAAACCATGTGCTGCCCGAGTGGTATAACTTCACTGGAATCGAGTAGATCATAGGAAGGAGCCGACGCCCGATAGAACTGGCAGACTGGGTCGTGTTCTGGTGGCCACTGCCCGGGACGACGCGCCGACCCCGGTCCACGCCAGGGTGCGATAGGCCTTCGGTATCGTGCGGCGCTGCTGGCGTCGCACCTCGTCTGTACATCCGAGAAACGACAGGCACGCCTCCGAGCAGGATGGCGATGTGGAAAGACACCAGGAGAGCAACCTGCCAGCAGGGAATCGCCATGTCTGTGACTGCTCGGGCTATCGCAAACACCTTCGGGCCGCTGATTGAGCCAACACGGCTTGAGCCAAAATGGCTACGGACGATTTTGGGGGTCTCTTGGGCCGTCTTTGGGCGGTCTTGGGGGCCTCTTCGGCCGTCTTGGAGCGGTTTTGGGAGACTCTTGGACGGCCTTGGAGCGTCGGAATCCCGAAAAAGCGAGAAGGCCAAAAACCTCGGAACAAACGATAAAAATCAACGATTTTGGCTTGTCGCGGCTCTCTTGGGAGGCCTCTTGGGATGCCTTCGGGGCCTCATGGAGCTCTCTTGGAACGTCTTCGGGGCTTCCTGGCCATTCCTGAGGCTATCTATACGCGTCTTGGAGCGCTCGCGGGCCGTTTTCGGTGGTCTCGAACTGTTCCTGGCGGTCCCAGGGGCCCTCGGGGACGCTTCGGACGCTCCCGGGGGCGCCCTGCACCCCCCATGGAGATTACAGGCACCGCCCCGGGCCGCCCCCGGGCCCGACTCCTATACATATATATATATATATATATATATATATATATATATGTATGTATGCTTTCCCAACGTTCCTCGACCCCCTCCCCCCTGGACATGGTGGGCGAATGGAGGCCTACGGGTTGGGATGGGGTGGTCTGGTGGGTGGTAATGAACTTGAGCCTTCCCCCCTCTCAACGTTGTTGCCCCGGGGCTTTCGGATCGTAACTCGGCTCTTTGGCGGCCGTTCGAGACAGTCCAGGCACCCCGGGAACGCCTCTCGGCGAGAAGCGCGGCTGGGGAAACGCAACCCAGGGCCAGGAAACCGCCAGGAACCGACGAGAACGCCTGCAAACCTCGCACCTCGAACTGGCAAACTCCCCCCCTGACGTTAAGGCGAGCATGTCCTCATACAGGCGGAGCTTGGAAGAAACATGAAAATAGATACAGATAATGTCCAGGCATAATCCAAAACAAATCGAAAATCGTCCCCTGGCTATTCTTATACTACTCTTGAATCTTCCTCATGTTGAAGGACGTGCCCGACTTCACCCTGACTCAGGGGCGCGCAAACATGGATTAGCGATCCATGGATTTGGCGCGCGGTCACTAAATCCATGGATCGGAGGGGGCCTTCCTAAAATGCTGCCAGTGCCGCCTCGCTCGGAGGCAAAACCTGCGATTTCCGATGAAACCGGGACCCGTCGCTAACCCACGCCCCCTTGATTGAAGGGGCCCCAGGACACACAAATAAATACACACAAATAACAGGATTCCCCATATTTTCAAATATTTTCTGGGTGTTTGTCTTCCCCCGCACTTCCCATACTTTCCCATATTTTCCTGGGAATCGACGATTAATTGTGTCTGTGTGTTGTTCTCCCTCCTGATTGATCCATGTTTGCGATCGCCCGACTGGCGCTGTCCCTGCCGTGCTCCGAAACGGCCGCGCTGGCGTCGCTGCCGTGTCGGGGCGGCGCGAGCCTGCCAGAGGCACGCGCGCCCGGAGGGCGAGCGGACGACTGCGAAGCGCGAGCAGGCCCAGCGGGACCGCGACCGGCCCCTTTCCTCCTCCTCCTCCTCCTCCTCCTCCTCCTCCTCCTCCTCCTCACCCTCCTCCCCCCCCCGCTGAGGCCCGACAGCATTATCTGATTTTGCTTTCCCGGACGTTTTCATCTGCGGAGCTGGGCTCCCTGGCGCGAACGGCCGAACGACCCCAGCAGCGGGACGCTCTGGCAACACGGCTGGCCGCCACAGAAATCCTCGGCTTGACGCCGACCCGCGCAAAGGCGCCCCCGCAAACGCGCGAGGCGCGCGACAGGCCTTCATCGGCGTGACGGGCGCGGACAGCGTCTTGTCCATCAGCGGTCCGCTGGCCTGCCGCCGCGGGCGCGCGCCAAGATGATGAGGATGGTCTTCCTCCTCCTCCTCCTCCTCCGCGGCACCACCGCCGTGACCCACACGTACTGAAGGGATTCCGCCCAGGATCTCTTCGTCAAAGAGTCTCGGTGCCCTCGGCTCTAGCACCTACGAACTCAACGTCAGCGTTCTCTGAAGGTCGACTCCGTACGCCGTAACGTACGCTTCAGGTGGCGCCATCTTGCCTCCTCCCGACGGATCCTCACACGTCGTTAGAACTATTCGGAAATCCGTTTTGTCGCTTGCAGTGCTCTCCCGACATGGTCCGCTTCATAGTAAAGACCGAGGGAAATTCCGAAGGTAGAGGGGACGGTTCGCCATGATTCGAGTTCCTCTCTAGAGATCGTGGGCTTCGCTACCCTTCTGAGGACAAACATGCTGTCTTCCGTCGGAACCCACATCCACATTCAGGGCCTCTTTTGTCCACTTTGATGTTTAACATATGTGTCTTGTTTGTCAAGATTCACTTCGACGCATTAGATTGAAACGCATGTGGCGATCGCCTAGATGCATAACACTACGTTAGGATATCGATATAGTTTATTCCGGTTGAAACCCAATCATTCGCCAGGTCATTGGAATTTCCAGACGATCGAGCGTGTTCTTTGCTCTCATCTCCAAACGCAAAGAACCCCTTCTCATGAGCCGTAAAAACGTCGTGCGGCATGGCTGCTATGTTCCGTTAAATAGATGTAGTGATGCATGAGAGATACGCGGGCGCGAAAGGCGAGCAAACCCGTGTTCCTGCCTGGGCGTGGATGCGCACGATCCTCGCATGCCACTTGAGCGAAATCCGCGGGACGCACGTGTAGGCTCGCCACACTACATGCGCAGAGGCAGCGAAGCTAACGACCAAACCCTCCACATCCACCACCACCACCGCCACCACCACCACCGCCAACAACACCACCACAGATCTCCCTGGTACCATCCTTTCTCGTCTCCCTACCCCGTTCCCTACCCCAGTTCCTCCATCACATTTCCCTTCCCCTCCCTCCTCGTCCTCCTCCGTCCTCCCACCTCCTCCTCCCTCCTTCCTCACTCCTCCTGCTCCTCCGACTCCTCCTCCTCCATCTCCTCCTCCTCCTCCTCCTCCTCCTCCTCCTGCACGTCCACCTCCCCGTCCTGTTCCTCCTCCTCCTCCTCCTCCCCTCCTCCTCCACTTTGTCCTTTTTCTCCTCGCGTTTCTTCCTCCATCTCCTCCTCCTCCTCCTCCTCCTCCTCCTCCTCCTCTCCTCCTCCTCCTCATCATCATCATCATCATCATCATCATCATCATCATCATCATCATCATCATCATCATCATCATCATCTCATCCTCATCTCTCTCCTCATCCTCATCCTCATCCTCATCCTCCTCCCCATCCCCATCCCCATCCCCATCACCATCGCCATCAGCATCATGATCGCCATCATCATCATCATCATCAGCAGCAGCAGCATCAGCACCATCATCATCAGCATCATCATCAACATCATCATCATCATCATCACCGTCATCATCATCATCATCATCCTCATCATCATCATCATCATCGCCAGTAGCATTATCATCAGCATCAGCATCATCATCAGCATCATAACCATCAGTACCGACATCATCAGCAGCATCATCATCCTCATAATACTCATCCACATCCTCATCGTCCTCATCATCAGTATCACCATCATCAGGTATCATCAGCGTCAGCAGCATCGGCACAAACATCAGTATCATCATCCGCATCATCAGCATCAGCAACAGCATCATCATCCTTACTGGCATCATCACCATAAGCATCATCATCATCAGCAGCAGCATCATCATAATATCCTGAAGCGACGACAACGACGACGACTCCGCACCCGCCGCCGTCGACGACGACGAGGATGATGGCGCCGGCGACGATGGCCAGCGTAGCAGGGCTGCGGCGTGTTGGAGACGCGCGCGCGCGAGCCTCCACGCCGAAGTCCAGGCAGGGGTCCCCGCCTCAGCGGAACGCTGGGGCGCTTCCCCCTCCTCCTCCTCCTCCTCCTCCTCCTCCTCCTCCTCCTCCTCCTCCTCCTCCTCCTCCTTCCCTCTCCTCCTCCTCTCCTCCTCTCCTCTCCTTCCCTCTCTCCTCCTTCCTTCCTCCTCTTCCTCCTCCTCCTCCTCCTCCTCCTCATCCTCCTCCTCTTCTGTCTCGTCCATCTCCTCCAGCTCCTCCGGCTCCTCCATCTCCTCCATCTCCTCTATCTCCACCACCTCCTCCATCTCCTCCTCCTCCTCCTCCTCCTCCTCCTCCTGCTCCGCCTCCTGCTCCTCCTGCTCCTCCTCCTCCTCCTCCTGCTCCTCCTCCTCCTCCTCTCCTTCTTATTCTCCTTATTAATATCATTAGTTTTGTTATTCGTCGTATTATTATTATTCTTAGTATGTTTCTTCTTGTTCGTAATATAAATATTATTATTCGTCTTCTTAGTATGACTATTATTAGTAGTAGTATGATCTTTCGTCTTAGTATTATTATTATATTATTAGTATTCTTCTTCTTATTCTTAGTATCAGTAATGTTCTTCTTATTCTTCGTATCATTCTTCGGCCCCAGAGGGCCGCGAGTCGCCGAATTATCGCTCCTTGACGCCCACGATGGCCCCCACACGGCCTCCGAAGCTGCCAAGACGCCCCAAAAGGGCCCTAAGATGCGTCCCAAGAGGGTCCCAAGAAAAAAATCGTCACATTCCCTTTGAAAAAGAAGATGCGGTTTTCGCATAATTGTCTTTTCGGTTTTCACAACGTCCAAGACGGGCAAAGAAACACATTCAATATCGCCCCCCGACGGCCGAAGGACCCCCCAAGAGGGGCCGAAGAGGGTCCAAAAACATGCCACGAAACCCCCGAGACAGCCCAAGAGGGCCCCCTGACGGCTCCAAGAGGGGGTCCAGAGGGCACCTTTCCGAGCCGTCGGCCCCAAGACGCCCCCAGCCTGCCCCAAGAACACCCCAAGAGGCCCTGAGGGACCCAAAGAGAACCTCAGAGGCCTCCAATAAGCTCCCAGGACGCCCCCAAGAGGCCCCAAAACTTGGCCCAATATGCCTCGAGGCGGCCGGTGGTGGCGTGTAGACAGGCCAAGAAGCCACCAAAAGGCAACAACAAAAACACAAACAAGATACGATAACAACAACGAAGCAACACGAACGAATGCAAGCCCCGTGTCATGATTCGGACATGCCTCGTGAAATGCAGCCCTGGAGGCGCAGTGAGTTTATATAGGGGTCGGCGGATGTGGCGTAAGCCTATAGAATCCACGTCCGGAAGTGACGTGCTGAGCGGCAGCGTTTTCTGCGGAGGCGATGATGTAACGTACCCAATGTATCCAATTGTTGCAGGATTGCCACATATTGTATTGCGTTACATTATTATGTCTCCCCCCTGGCTACGCCACATCCGTGGACCCGAGATGGAGACCCCTATTTGGGGCCCAAAAACGTACCAAAACCCATGTGAAATCTATGATTTCGACCTTTTGGGCCCCTTGGGGGCCACGAGGGCGCCAAGACGGTTCAAGATGAGCCCAAGAGGGCCCACAAAGCCCCAATGACGGCCCAAGAGGGCCCCAAGAACGCCCACAACTGCGCCTCCAGAGGCCCAAATCATTGATTGTGGGATGGTTTTGGCGATATTTCAGCGTTCTCGCCTTTGCGGCCCAAGCAGCTTCCAAAATCGCCCCGGGACAACCCAAAAAGCGTCCATGAGGGCCCCTGGACGGCCCAAGAGGGCCCCAAGACGGCCCAAAGAGGCCCCCAAGAGGTCCAAGAGGCCCCTAAGACGGTCCAAGAGGACCCCAAGAGGGCCCCAAGGCGGCCGCGAGAGGCCCCCAACACGGCCTCCAATGGGCGACGCAACAAAACAACGCCACAAGATTTTTTTTGTTTGCTCCCAAGATGCCCCAAGAGGCCCCCAAGGGGCCCCAAGAAACCCCCAAGAGGCCTCCAAAAAGTCTCCAATGAGCTTCCAAAAGGCTCCATAGAAGCCCCCCAACGCCCACACAGCGACTGGAGTGTACTGTCCTTTTTCCCCCCTGGGCGAAGTGCGGCGCAGCGCCAGCCAGGTGGAAGTTGGTCACGGCGGCGCCCATGATTAGAGCTGGCGCTGGAAGGGGATATGGGGAGGGAGTATGAAAAGGAGGGAGGGGGGAGAGGCCCCAAAGACGCCTCCAAGAGGCAAAAAAAAACTCCCAAGAGGCCCCCAGGAGGCCCCCAAGAGGCTCCCAAGAGGACCCGCGACGACGTGACCAAGACTGCACAGGATGGCCCCAATAGACTCCCCAAAAAAACCCAGACGCCCCAAGAGGGCGCCAAGAGGACCTCCAAGAGGCTTCCAGAAACAAACAGCATTGATTTCCCATTGAGTTTTGAAAGACTTTGGCGTTCTCGCCTTTGTCGACTCCCCGAACCCCAGGACGGCCCAAGAAGCCTCCGAAATGGCTCCAAGACGGCCCAATAAGCCCTCAAGAGGGCCCTCAAGAGGGCCCGCAGGCGGCCGAAGAGGGCTCAAGCCGGCCCAAAGAGGCCCTCCAAACGCTTCATTGTACGACCTCACTGTACGTACTCCGGACGTGCACCCCGCGAAGCGAAAGGAATCCACGTCCGGAGGTGACGTGTTGCCGGAAGCAAGTCCGCGGAGGCTATAATGCAACGTATCCAATGTATCCAATGATTGCAGAATTGCTACATATTGTATTGTGTCACATTATTATGTACCCCCCTAACCACCCCCCAGGGGCCACACCACTTCCGCCTACCCAAAGTGCCCCCTCCCTCCTGCGCCTCAAAACCCAACAAAATCCAACCAAAACCTATGGAAAATGTCGGATTTGGGCCCCGTCGCCGTCTTCGGGCCGCACGAGGGCGTCCAGACGGCCCAAAATGGCCTCTGAACGGGCCCCGACGGCCCCAAGACGGCCCGACATTGCCCCAAGAGAGCCCACGAAACCCGAAGATGGCCCAAGAGGGCCCCACGAGCGCCCACAACTGCGCCTCCAGAAGCCAAAATCATCAATTGTGCTAGCGATTTTCTGATGATTTTAGCGTTCTCGCATTTTTTGACTCTCAGACGCCCACGACGGCCCAAACAGCTTCCAAAATGGGCCCATAAAAAACCCCAGAGGCTCCGAAGAGTCTCAAAACGGCCCAAGAGGGCCCCAAAGAGGCCCCCAAGACGGTCCAAGAGGCCACCCAAACGGCCCAAAAGGACCCCAAGAGAGACCCAAGGCGGCCGCGAGAGGCTTCCAAAAGGGCCTCCCAAGGGGCGAAGCGGCGCAAAAGCGCCGCAAGACAGCCGAACACGCCCCCAAGAGGCCCCAAGAGGCCCCCAAGAGGCCCCCAAAAGGTCCCCAAGAGGCCTCCAAAAAACCCATAAGAAGCTTCCAAGAGGCCTCAAAGAAGCCCCCAACAGGCCACACAACGACTGGAATGTAGTTTCTTCCCTCTGGGCGAACCGCGGTGCAGCGCCAGCCAGGTGGAAATTTGTCACGGCGGCGCCCATGATTAGAGCCGGCGTTTGAAGGGAGGAAAGGCAGGGATAATGAAAAGAAGGGAAGGGGGACAGGCCCCAAAGAAACACCCAGGAGGATCAAAGAAACCCCAAGAGGCCTCCAGGAGGCCCCCAAGGGGCCCCCCTCAAGCCCCCAGTAGGTCTCGAGAAAGCCCCCAAGAAACTTCCAAAAAGCCCCAAAGAAGCCTTGGAAAGGTGGAAAGGCCACACAACGACCACGACGAAAAGGAACTCAAATGACGAAAAGGAACTCCCGCGACGACGCGAAGGACTCCAACGGCGAAAGAGGACTCCAACGACGATAAGGGACTCACACGACGAAAAGGGACTCACACGACGAAAAGGGACTCCACGACGAAAACGGACTCCAACGACGAGAAGGGACCGAAGCAACGAAAAGGGACTCCACGACGAAAAGGGACTCCGCGACGAAAAGGAACTCCAGTGACGAAAAGGAGCTCCCGAAACGACGCGAGGGACTCCCACGACGAAAGGGGACTCCAACGACGAAAAGGGACTCGCACGACGAAAAGGGACTCACACCACGAAAAGGAACTCCACGACGAAAGGGGGCTCCAACGACGAAAAGGATCCCCAGCGACGTGAGGCCACTGACACGAAGAAACAACGACGTACATGAAATAAAGAGGGGAGGGGAAGAAATTAAAACGAAAAAAGAGACTCAAGCAACACAAAGGGACGAATCGCTTCGTGGCCGGCTCCCCCCCTCACGGTGACAGTGATTTAGCTCCCCGTCCCGATCCGAACCACAGTAAGAGGACGACGCGGAAAAAGAGAAGGAGGAGGCGGAGCCACACTGATTGATTGTCGCATGTGTTTTCAAAGATTTAAGCGTTCTCGCCTTTGTCGACTCTCGGGGGGGCCCTGACCGTCTAAGAGGCCGCCAAGACGACCCAAGAGGATCCCCAGAGAGCCTCAAGGCGGCCCCGAGGCCACCAAGACGGCCACCGCAGGAGCTACACCGCGCGAGAGCGCCCCCAGAAGGCCCAAGATGCCCCCAAGAGGCCCCGAAGAAGCCCCCTGGCGGCCACAAGAAGCCCCCAAGAGACCCCCAAGAAGGCCCCAAGAGGCTCCAAAAAGGTCCCACAGCTGGACTGTACGCGGTCCTGACGAGCACCCCGCCAAGCGAAAGGAATCCACGTCCAGAAGTGCCGTGTTAAGCAGCAGGGTTTCCTGCGGATGTATAACGCAGCGTATCCAATGTATCCAAGTCTGGCGCTGAAAGGGTGGGGGCGCATCCGCCGCCCCTCTTGAAGACGACACGGCAGACCAGCGACGCAGACCCGCAAAGCAAACCACCCGACGCCCAGTCGCTACGTGCTCCGGACGTGCACCCCGCGAAGCGAGACGAATCATCGCCCCCCTCTTGTCGAGGATCCTCAGAACGTGTGCAAGCGCCAACGTGTGCTGGCCCATCGAGACCGTTCGATACGACGCAGGTGATGTTTAATGCGCTGCTGGTGGAGCGAAACGCGGTAAACACACACACACACACACACACACACACACACACACACACACACACACACACACACACACACACACACACACACACACACACACACACACACACACACACACACACACACACACACACACACACACACACACACTGGGCTAAGCAGCGCACGCCCCGGGGATCATCGACCTCGACCGCCCCCGAGACACGCAGACTCCCTGCAACCTCTCCAGGGCGGACATCCAGGAGAACGGCTCGGGGAAGGTGCGCCCGCCCGGGCCGCCGGACGGGGGAGTCGCCCAGCGGGAGCGGGGCGAGGCGAGGAGAAGGGCAGGAGGAGCAGCAGCAGCGGGAGCGGGAAGGGGGGGACGGAGAGGAGGCGCGGCGGCGAGGCCAGGGGGGGGCGGGGTCGGAGGGAGAAGGCCTTCTCGGGAGGCGGCGGGGGCTTCTCAGCGGCCCGCTCGCCGTCTGAGAAGTGTCCCGTCTTCGGGGGAGGTTTCGAAAACTGCTCAGAATGCCCGACGCCTTCCGGGCCTTCTGAGAAGGCCCGCCCCAGGCTCGCCGCCGGAGAAGCGAATCGACGATCGCCAATCGACGAGAGCTTGAACGTCTTGCTGCCCATTGCGCCTCCTGGGGCGTCCTCGTCGCCATTCTGGCCGGAGCACACACTAGGAGGTCCAGGGATCCATTTCCGAGGACGAGGTGGAATAGAAAGAGGAGAGAGGAGGACGACCAAAAAGAGGGAAGAACAGCAGAGAGGAAAGGAGGAGCCGTACCCCGGTTCAGATCACACTCCGATTCGGCCGGCAGAGCCAGCCCGATCGAATCCGCTTGGTATAAGGCTCGGATCTGCTGTGGTCGCCGCCATTGAGGTCGAAGATGTCGTTAACCAGATCGTCGACGTTGACGTCGACGACCGAACCTGCGCCGACGCCACAGCTACACAACCCCTCACAACCAACACCCCGGTCCACTTCGTCAACCCTTCTGATATGGCTCGCTTCAACGCTTCGCAGTGTCAAGCACTAATCATTTTCGGTCAAGCAGCGGCCAACATCAGTGTCACCATCGTCGCTTGGAATGGCCTGAGCATCGAGCAAACGAAATTGTCGACATCACACACAGCGCAGAGATCACCACATCCTCCACCGAATCTGAAAGAAGAAGAAGAACCATGAGAAGGACACGGATAATGATACAAGGTAACCAGCAGCAGCGAAGGCAGGGGAACGACTGCAGGATGAAGAAGGCGAAGGAGAAGCGAGACAGGGCGCGGATTCGACAAGAGAACTGGAAGGCCACAATCATCAAAATAACTCTGCATACCTTCGGAACGACCCCGGAATCTTCCCAAACCGCAGAAAGCTTCCGAGACAATCTCAGATAGGCTCCCTCCTCCCTGCTCATCTTCCTCTCCCCCTCTTCCCCTCTCTCCTCTTCCCCCTGTTCCTCCCCTCCATCCTCATCCTCATCCTAGTGACCATTTCGCTCAGGCATTTGGCCCCTCGGTTGCTTTACTCATCATTTGACCTCTCGCATGTTGTCGATGCCGGCGGACCTTGCACGTCTGGATTAGGTTGCGAAGAAGATCACCGACTACGGGCGCGCCGTGCATTTGGTGATCGGCAAAGCTGCTAAAGCTGATATCCTGGAAGTCCGCATCCTTGCTTCCGGCGTCATGGTATCGCAGATGAAGTGGATCAGGCAATTATGCTCCGCTCACCTGGAAGCTGACACAAGGCACAAGCATACGAATGGCATCTCGGAAGTGGGCATCTGGATTCGGTGCCGTAGTGAGGCGGCATCCCTGAACTCTCCTCCCAAAGAAATTCCTGATCAAGCGCCGCCTGTTCAACATGCCGAACCTCAGGCTGGTCAGCAAGTGGCCTACCATGACCTCCTGCGCCACGGGGGATTCCACTCTGAGGAGGCTCTCGAGGCATCCATCCGACCTCATCCGTGCAGCCAAGGTGGCAGCACTATGCGTGGCTGCCGCTGTTCGCGAGGGTGGTGGTGGTGGTGGTGATTTTTCGGCATTCTCGAGCGCTGGTGCAGGTGTCTTTTCGACCTCATGCTCTGGCGAGGGCGCTGAGCTCAGGGATGCCAACTCTCTCCGAGAAAGTGGGGTTGCTGGGCGATCAATTTCTGGTCCTGATAGTGGTCACCGTGATCGTGAGGAAGACCGTGGTGCAGGTGGCGATGGCTATCCATGTGCTGTTTCAGCAGGTGCGCTCGAAATTTGGAGGCCGCTCCCTGGTATCGCGCCGCCGTCTGAAGAGCAAGCGCAGTGTAAGCAGGAATAGTCGTGGGCCTTGCTTGATAGTTTCTTTTCTCCATAATCATCAGCACGGTCCGTCCCAGCCTGCTGATGGCAGATGTACGGGGGCCGCTGTGTCCATCTGAACATGTGGAAATTGGGTTTTGCACCTGTTCGTGAAGTGACGCATCGCGTTGTTGGTCACTCTGGTGTATTCGGTGCTGGTGGGCTACGCCGTCGTCGTGGTGTGATGCATCATCGTCTCCTCCCTCGCAAGCTCAGGGGTAGTGGTCATTTCACTCGATACGCAATGGCCGAACCCCTCGAATCCCTCCGCCTTCTCCCCCTGTTCCTCCCTCGGCCACGACGACGACGATGACGACGACAGCGATCACGACAACCACCAACACGACATCCCCTGGGGCGCGTTCGCGTTCGGGCCAGACATCCGACGAGGATCTAGCTATGGCGACGAGAGCACCCCCCTGAGGCTCCGGAAAGGCCTAAAATAAAAACGCAAAGAAACCTCATCCCTCAGCTGGCGACATCGGCGCCGATGCTGGGTCCTCAACGTCGATCCTCGGTCCTCGACGCCGATCCTCGACATCGAGAACGACGACGGCGGACGACAACCAACCACGAAGACGACAATGACGGCGGCGACGACAACGACGACGCCGACCACGGCGGCGGCGGTGAAGGCGGCGACGAGGACGACAAGCGGCGCGCCGATGCAACTGCCCAGCTCGGATCGGCTGTCGTCGTCCTCAGGGGAAGGCGGGGGTTGTCCGAAGCCAACGCCGAGCTCTCACACGTCACTGCCCCCGCCGATCTCTCAAACGTCACTGTCAAGTACTGTTGCTTCGATGCAGCAATTGCAGCGAACAAATGATAATCATGATGATCTGAAAAGGAGGGGAAGAAGGATCATCATCATCATCCACCGAATCATCATCATCATCATCACCATCATCATCATCATCATCGTCATCAGCAGCATCATGCGCATCCTCATCATCATCAGCATCATCATCATCATCAGCAGCATCAGCATCATCATCATCAACAGCAACAGCAGCATCAACATCAGCATCAGCATCAACATCATCACCGTCTGATCAGCATAGTCATCATCAAAATCATCACCACCACACTCTCCGTCAAGATCATCAGAATCACCACCACAGTCACCAAAACCACCACCAACATCATCAGCATCAGCATCATCACCATCACCATCACCATCACCATCGCCATCATCATCAGCATCATCATCATCATCGCCACAATATCAATCAGCATCATCAGCAGCAGCAGCATCAGCAACATCATCATCATCAGCATCATGATCAGCATCATCAGCAGCATCATCAGCCTCATCATAAGCATCGTCATCGTCATCGTCAGCATCATCATCATCAGCAGCAGCATCATCATCAGCATCAGCATCAACATCATGAACATCATGATCATCATCATCATCATCAGCAGCAGCAGCAGCACCAGCATCATCATCATCATCACAATCATCAACATTATCATCATTATCAGCAGCAATATCAGCAGGACCCACGGTGCCCGCCGTTCTGTCGCTGGAGCCTCGCCACCAAAGAGCTGTTCGGGCCAGGGGGAGATGTTCGGGCTGGCCCTCTGGCTCAAAACACTCCCCCGCACACGGGGCTCGCCACACCGTGCGCGGCCAGGGCGGCTGCTCGAGCCCTGGGCCCAGTGAGCCTCCCAACACCGGGCCGCACGGCCACACGGCGTGCCCTCCACTTCGCCATCTCCGCCGAGCTGCTCCACGGCGTGCCCTCCACTCCATCCTCTCTTCCGAGTTGCCCGCCCCCCCTTCCTGCCCCTGCTTCCTCCCCCTCGTCCCTCACGCTCCTCCTCCTGCTCCTCCTCCTGCTCCTGCTCCTCCTGCTCCTCCTGCTGCTGCTCCTCCTCCACCTCCTCCTCCTCCTGGTCCTGCTCCTCCTGCTCCTGCTCCTCCTCCTCCTCCTCCTCCTCCTCCACCTCCTCCTCCTCCTCCTCCTCCTCCTCCTCCTCCTCCCCCTGCTCATCTTCCTCCTCCTCCTCCTCCTGCTTCTCCTCCTCCTATTCCTCCTCCTCTTCCTCCTCCTTCTCCTAATCCTCATCCGTGGTGCCGAAGTGTCAGCCAGCTGGGCCAGATCAGGCGGAGGCCGCCTGAGCCCCAGGGGATTCTCACTCGACTCACTCACCATCCCCCTCTTCCCGCCCACCCCTCCCTCCGTGGTGCCGAGGTGTCGTTCGGCTGGGCCAGACCGGCCAGATGGCGCTCGAGCTCCCAGCGATTCTCACTCGACCCCACCTTGGCTACACGCAGTGGTGACCGTGGGCAAGAGCGGGGTCCTCAGAGAGCCCAAGTCCGCGAGCGCAAGCCAGAATTGGGGGGGGCCGTGGGCCAACGCCACAAAAGTCACTCTGGCGAAGGGCAAGACCAGTCGGCATTGAATCGGGAAAGCGGATCGAATCGGAATGTGCGTCGGATCGGGCTGAATTGGCACGGAGCCGAGATCGAATCGGATCGGATGCGCCAGCATGCGCAGCGGGGCCATGCAAGCGCCTGGACCCTGGCAAACGAACGGGGCGGGGCATGCGATCGAACTGGACCCTGGCGAAGGGTCACTCTTGCCCGCGCTGATACCCAGGCTCCCAGCGCTGCCGCGCGGGCGCGAGAGCGCGAGTGGCCGCTCAGACGCTGGCGGTCTGGTTCGCCCAGCCCGCCTGCTGCACTGGGGCAAAACCCGGCTGGAAACCGCCCTGCTGGATGCCGAAGTCGCCGTGCGCACCGCCGTAGGCGCCCTGGTCGGCGCTGCTGTAGGCACCAGACCCGCCGTAGGCGCTGGCGGCACCGTAGGCGCCGTAGGCGCCGCCGCCATAGGCGCCGCCGCCGTACGCGTCCCCAGCGTAGGCGGCCGCGCCGAAAGCGTTCTCCGCGTTGAAGGCTCCGCCCTCGTAGGCACCGCCCTCGGCTTGGGCGTTGGTCGCGGCGCTGGCGGTGGTGCCGTACATCTCGGGATCATCGCGCATCAACTTCTTCTGCTCCGAGACGGCCTCGTTGAAATCCTCCTCCGTGGACTTGCCCACGAGGACGACCAGAACAAACAGGACCGCCGCCTGCGGTGGCAACTTATGGGATCCCCCCGTACCATCTTGTTGGCTCTTCCGCATCGACGGTAATCCACACTAACCGACGCTACATCGACGCCAATCGACGCTAATCAGCGTTCATCGACGCTAAATCGGCGCTGTCCCATCGACTAGTAGCGCTAATCGACGCTAGTCGGCGCTAAGGACGCAATTAAGAACGTACAGTAGGGGCCCGACCACAAGAAACCTTCGAGAAGAAACGCAACCCTGAGACCCCAGGACGTCCATGGACTTTAGGTGCGGGCACGTCACGCTTTCCATCGCGGAACCATCGAAGCCCAAGAAACCCAGAGCGCCCTGGAGGCAAGCAGGGTGCTTCTTGGCGGGGGTCTCCACTGCACAACAGTCTCCCATCATTGGCTGCCGAGGCCACCGTGCCCAGCGAGGCGGAGACCCCGTAGACGATGCTGTGGCCCAGATGCGCTCCGCCCGTGCGCGGGTACATGTTGATGACCAGGCTGGCCGCCCACACGTACTGCGCGAGGCCGCCAAACTGCAGAACGGCCGCTGCCACATACGCGATTCGCATCCACGTGCGCAGCACAGCCTCCGGGGGCTGCTAGAAGGTGCCCCTGGCCCAAGGCGCCCCCAGCTTGTCGCTCCATGTTGGAGCCCCAGGGGCCCTGTGGGCCTCGTGAGGAATGCTCTGGAGGCCGTGGGGGCCTCCATGGAAATCCTAGGGGCACCTTGGGCTAGGGGCACTTCTAGCATCACCCGAATGCGCGGCACAGCCTTCGGCTTCACGTACACATACCGGTACAGCAGGGACGCGCCAGCGGCCATGGCCACGAAGCTGAGCACGACGGCGACGACCAGGCCCCAGGACGAGAACTTCAGGAACTGCGAGACCATGCACACGTTGTCGGTGATCTTGGGGACCTGTGGCAGGGCGCACATGTGCTCGCTGAACTCCTCATAGGTGTACTTCTTCTCCACGAGCGAATTGATCCACGACATTCCTCCCGCGGTGACGGGGTCGATGAGGAAGCCCGCTATCACGCCGATGTAGCCTGCTTTAACTTGCTGGAGGGGGTGGAGGGGAAGAGGCGGGAGGGCAGGCGGCGTGGGTAGGCAGGGGGGCAGGAGGAGAGGCGAGAGGAAAGAGATGAGGGGGAGGGGGGGCACGAGGAAGGGGGACGTAAGGGCAGGGAGCCATGGCGAGTTGAGGAAGCAAAAAGGACGCAGAAGGGGTGAGATAGGATGGGGTGTGAGATAGGATGGGGTGTGTGGGGGGGGGGGGCAGAATGACAGGGAAGGGGGGGGAAGGTGGAGTTGAGGAGGGAGGGAGGGAGGGGAGAAAGGGGAGAGAGGAGAGGAGAGGGGACGAACCTCCTGTTGCTCTTGACCCTGCTGCTGCTGCCCATGTTCCTGATTTCCTGTTCAAGCGTTTGCTATTGCTATTGCTCCTGCTGTGGCCCCTGCTTGTTTATCATGTTCGAACTTATGGTAAGGAAGTTCCTCCTTCTCCTCCTCATCCTCCTCCTCCTCCTCCTCATCACCACCACCACCATCATCATCATCCTCATCCTCATCATCAGCATCATCATCATAATCATAATCATCATCATCATCATCATCAGCAGCATCGTCATCCTCATCATCATCAACATCACCATCACCATCACCATCACCATCATCACCATCATCACCATCACCATCATCACCATCATCACCATCATCACCATCATCATCATCATCATCATCATCATCATCATCATCAGCATCAGCATCAGCATCAGCATCAGCATCAGCATCAGCATCAGCATCATCATCATCATCATCATCATCATCATCATCGCGTTCCTTATCTTCCTCATCATCCTGCTGCTGCTGCTCCTCCTCCTCCTTCTCCTGCACCTCCCCCGCATCGTGCCCCTCAATATGCGTATCCTCTTCCTCTTCGTGGCCCTCCCCTCCTCTTCGACCTCCTCCTCCTCATCCTGCTCCCCCTCCTCCCATGATCATCATCATCAGCAGCAGCATCAGCATCGTCATCATCATCATCATCCTCATCATCAACAGTATCATCATCAGTATCGTCATCATCAGCATCATCATCAGTATCATCATCATCAGCAGCATCATCATCATCAGCAGCATCATCATAATCAGCATCATCATCAGCATCACCACCACCCCCACCACCACCACGACCACCACCAGCAGCATCCTCATCCTCCTCCTCATCCTCATCCTCCTCCACCACCACCATCATCATCCTCATCAGCATCATCGTCAGCATCCCCAGCATCAGCATCAGCATCAGCAACATCATCCTCACCCTCAATATCATCATCGCCGTCATCATTAGCATCATCATCATCATCGTCGCCTTCGTCATCATCATTCAGTCGCTGCACTTGCTGTACCGAAGTAGCAGTACTTGGCAGCGACGTGTGAGAGCCTCAGCATCAGCATCAGCACCAGCATCAGCAGCAACATCATCATCATCATCATCAACATCATCATCATCACCATCATCATCATCATCATCATCAGCATCAACCGCATCAGCATCGTCATCATTAGCATCATCCTCATCATCAGCAGCATCATCGTCACACTCAGCATCAGCATCATCCTCATCATCAACAGTATCATCATCAGCATCATCATACTCAGCATCATCGTCATCGTCATCAGCATCATCAGAATCATCAGCAGCAGCATAATGCTAATAAGTAGCGTCAACAGCAGCATCAGCAGCAGCGTGAAAAACATCACCATCAGTATCATCAGCAGCAGCATCACCAGCCGCCGCAACATCATGATACCCAGAAGCAGCAGCAGCATCAGCATCAGCATCAGCATCATCATCATCATCAGTATCACCAACATCATCAGCATCATCATCATCATCATCATATGACTCGTCGTCTGCATCACCAGCGTCGTCATCGTCATCAGCATCAGCAGCGTCATCATAACCATCATCATACTCAACATTAGCATCATCAGCATCAGCATATTCATCCTCCTCCTCATCATCAACACCATCACCCTCCTCATCATCATCCTCATCCTCATCCTCCTCATCATCAGCACCGTCATTGTCAATCGTCGTCGTCCGCCTGCTGGTCAGATTGTTCCTCTCCCCCTCCTCCGTCCGCCTCCTCTTCCCGCTCCTCCCTCTCCCTCTCTCTCTCTCTCTCTGTCTCCCTTCCCTAAACCTTCCCCCCTCTACCCCTCCACCAGTACGTACTCAACCTTAGCTATATGTACAGCGGTGGTCCCACCTCTCCCGCGCCATGCTATTTTTCATTCGAGCAGGGGCGTAACAGCTGGTATGTGATGTGATCGTTCGGTTGAAACGTTTCTGGCCATGCAACAATGGATGGTACTCCCGCTGCAGCGTTGGCCACACTTCAGGATCACAGACTTGCATCCGTCGATCAGAACGGCGTTCTTGTCCTGGAGAGGGCCGCATTTCTAGATCCGATTCCTTCCACCTCCCACCCTGCTGCTACGGCCCCTGCTCCTACAAATCCTCCTCCTCCTCCTCATGTTTCTCCTCCCTCCTCCTCCTCCTCCTCCTCCTCCTCCTCCTCCTCCTCCCTCCTCCCTCCTCCTCCTCCTCCTCCTCCTCCTCCTCCTCCTCCTCCTCCTCCTCCTCTTCCTAATCCAGAAGCCGCATTAGAGTGACCATTTGTTTTTTGGCCCCCCCTCTGTCACAGAGGGGGTCTAAGATGCCCCCCCCCCCCCCCCCCCCCCGCCCCTCTGTCACAGAGGGGGTCTAAGATGCCCCCCCTCTGTCACGGAGGACCTCGTTCTGGGTGCTCTTCTGCCACGGGAGCTCCCGATACGATTGGATACGATAAAATGCGATGGCGGGATGGGGGATTGGAGGGGGAGGGAGAAGAAAACGATGAAGGAGAGGAGGCAACGACAGCACCGATGAAAGCACCGTTTCTTTTCCTTCTCCGCTCGGGCAGCGGTCGCCGAGCACGACGGCGCGCGCGAGTCGCCGCCGCTCACGATGCAATGGCAAGGCCTCCGCTGCTGCGGAGGGTCGACGTTCGGCCGATGAGGCCTCCCTCCGCTGCTGCGGAGGGGCGGCTCCTGTGCGATGGTTCAGCTAAGTTCTTCCCAGGGATTGGTCTCGGGGGGGTGTTCGACCCACCTCCAATTCGTGGCCTCCCAGTGCCCCTGGCCGCTACTCCACCCACTGTGGCTGCTCCACCAGTCACTGGGGCGTTGGTCGCTGCCGAATGCAACTTGCATGTCGCGCCAGGCGGAGTCGACCATGCGGTCCTGCAGCGAGGAAGCCTCGCCGCTCGGCTGTTGCCACTCGCGCTCCTCGCCCTCCCTGGTGCGCCACCACTCATCCCTGCGCCACTCCCCGTCTGTTGGTTGCTGCCGTGGCGTCTGTGGCCGCCGCTGCTGCGGGGGCTCTGGCGGCTCGTGGCCGAGGGCAGCGATCGCGTCCGAGATGTAGCTGGCGGCGCCGCGCTGCCCTCGCTGCTCCAGCGGCGCAGGCCCTGGAGATGGGCACTGCGGGGTCGGCTGCCACCTTGGGGGTGATAAGTAACTATTTCTACAATTACCCCCTCCCTGTCAACTCCCGCCCCTTCCCGACACTCATTTCCTTATGTCATCCCTCGTCCTGCTCAGCCTATTCCTCATTCCCTCTCCTCCCTCCTGCCCCCCCCGTGCCCCGCCCCCCCTCTCCCTCCCTCCCCCTTTCAACCCCCCGCCGCGACCTTCCATCGCCAGCCGCGGGCCTGTCGCGGCCGTCGTCCGCGTTTTCGCCTGCCCATCTTGGTGGGCGCCACGCCTGTTGGGCGCGCTCGTCTTGCTCGTCCCTCTCGCTGTGCTGCTCTGGTGCCTGGCGCCCGGGCCCGTGCTGCTCGGGCGCCGCTGCTGCGGCGCCCTGGAGCGCAGCTGCCAGCTGTTTCTGGGCGCGCCTGTCCTTCTTCTCTTTGGCTCTCTCCTGCTTCCTCCCCTGCGAACGCACGCTGGCCATGCGCTTTGGAACAGGAGAGGGTAGTGGGCGCCGCCGTGCCAGCGCCCCTCCACCTCCACGGTCTCCGGCGGGGGCGTCTTCTGCAACGCGCGGAAGAGGGTCACCTCGCGATTACTAGAGAAGCGGTGGCCCCCTCTAGCCTCAACCTCGGCGCGCCTCAGTTTCTCACGCTCCTTCTCTTGGATCTTGCGTTGGCATTCCTCTGACTGAGTCAGTAAATCCTGGAGGTGCTCGCGGGCGTCTTTTTTCGGGTAGTAGCAAGAGTAAGGCATCCCAGGGCCTCCGTTCTGGCTGTGGTGCCAGTACGTCGGCTCCGATGATGGGCTGGTGGAGGCCCCCGCTGCTGCGGGGGCCTCTGCCTTGCTTCTGTTACGGTGCCCGATCTCGCCGATCACCGACTTGCGTGCGAAGAGCAACCCCGTCTCGTCTCTGTCGTGCACGGCGCTCAGCGGCCAGCACAGGGTGTACTCGCCAGGCCTGTTGAGAACGAAGATGCCGCAGCTGTCCAAGCACGGAGTGCCGTCCAATCCGCGCCAGAAGTACGCTGCTGCCGTCTCCAATCGCATGCCTAGACCCCGAAGACTCGGCAGCGTCTGTGTGAGCGCCATGTTGAAATCCCCACAAAGGATGTCAACGTTGTTGTCCTGCAAGATGGTCGCCAACCTCCGCCACCACGTCTTGTGAGCCTCGTTAAAGCCTTTGGAATTTTTCGCCGTGTCGCGGTGGAGGTGCACCGCGCGCACCCGCACTTTCGAGCCGAAGTGGGCGTCGGTTTGATCGAAGTAGATCTCAACCACCATGATCCTCGAGAACGCTTCCATATTGCGCCCTTTTGCTGTTTTGTAGTGGCCGTCGACACTCCTTTCCCAGTGGAGCAGCCGCATTGCGTAACACAGATTTGCGCGCGCAGCGATGCACAAGGACTTGTCCTCACGCCCGCGCAGGGTCAAGTATTCGTACTCTGGTCGATTCTGGAGCTGTTGGCAATCGCCAACACTCGCAGCACGACTTCCTCTTGCTGTCGCCATCGCTGCTGCGGGGGCGACA